AACAGTGTCGCTTGATCGAGATCGGCTCGCGCTGCACAGATGTTGCTGGTTCGAACTGATAAACGATCCGTGAAGCACATAATGAGTAGCGCAGTTTCGTTCCGTTTTCATTCTGCTTGCCATTTAATGTTGCGCAATGTTGTGGTGGCCGTGCCAGCGCGAATTTTATCGGCAGGAAAAATGGTCCAAGGAATCGTTCGGTTTGTATGCGTACCGAACCAGAAGCCTCGAACCGAAATGGTTCAATACGAATACATGTACCATTACACCCCTATTTAGCAGTGATTTTAACAACTGGCCTGATTATTCATGATGGATATTCATTTTATGATTTGTTACAGATTACACTTAACAGGTCATACTAATTAATAACATTTTAATGATTAAATGATTAGTGTTTTTAAAGGAGAACTCCGGCACAAAATGAAAATGGTCTAATAAAACATTGGTACATAGTCAATCGTTCTCTGAGATTTGTTTTCATGATAATCAAATGTAAAGAGTTTTATCTCTAAAAACTGTTTAGAATATAATGCTAGTAGTGGGGGCATTTACTAAGTAAAAAGAAATCGCTAGTTTATACCACTAACAAGCCTCTAAATATCCCCACACTCACACAGTAACATAATGAGGGCCATACATTCAAAACGAAGCATTGAGAACTTTGTAAGTGTACAGACCGTTTAATAAGAAGATACTTTATAAAGACAGTTCACTTCGTGTATACAGACAGAAGCCATCTTAGAAAATAGTCTCGATAAGTCGATCCCCGAACGCCGTTCATACAGTTCAGAAGTTCGCTGAACTTCATACAGTTCAGCTCACTCAGCGCGACGTTCGTGGTTTGACTTGTCGTGACTGTTTTCCAAGATGGCTCTGGTCTGTATACACGAAGTGAACTGTCTTTATAAAGTATCTTCTGATTAAATGGTCTGTAAACTTACAAAGTTCTCAATGCTTCATTTTGCATGTATGCACCCTCATTATGTTACTGTGTTAGTGTGGGGCTATTTTGAGGCTTGTTAGTGGTATAAACTAGCGATTTCTTTTTACTTAGTAAATGCCCCCAATACTAGCGTTATAGCGCTAAACAGTTTTTAGAGATAAAACTCTTTACATTCGATTATCATGAAAACAAATCTCAGAGAATGGTTGACTGGGTACCGATGTTTTGTTAGACCAAAGGTTCATTTTGCGCCAGAGTTCTCCTTTAAGAATAACTTCTAAGGGGACGTTAGATGATGGCAAAGGTAATAAAAAAATGGTAGGAAAGCATGCACAATTAAATATCAATATTGACTGATATTAAAAATAATTCAATAAAATCTTCAATATCGGCCAATATTATACCAATGGTCTATAATATTATGTATACTTAATGGTAACATCAGAAATATAAAATTAAAAATGTCAAGTATGGTAGATTGTCACTGCTAAAAGACTAATATTATACAAGTGTATAATATTGGCATGTATTGACATGCTTTGCAATTATGACAATTTAAATCATGGCATAGTTAAATAAAGTTGGATGTATCTTTTCAGCAATTATCTATAAAAAAATGAAGAATATTATCGGCTTCAAAGACAAAGGCAGAGTAAATCAAGACCACCTCTTATTCAAGCATTGTGTTTTCTTTTCACCTGAACTTCTGTCACCAATCACCAATGTAACAACAATATGTACTACTATAATATGATCATACTAAACTACTAAAGGAAAAAAAGTTAATTTGATTTTCTTGATCTAAATAAGTCTCCAGACTTGTACAAAAAAACAAACTGGCGACAGAATCCGGATGCCAACATTTAGATGGAAAAATATCTCAGAAGAATCAGCTTAAGTAAACAATAATATAGCCTATTATGTCCAGACAATGTACACCCGCCTATCCTGCCGCTATACTGGGGGGATAGTTTAAACATAAGCTGTGAAAATAAGCATGAAACACTTTGTAAAACCTCTAACATGGTACGATAGTTTCAAATGGCTTTAAATCAGGCCATTTGAAACGTAGAGACCCATTAGTACCCTGTAACTGCACATTTTCATATTACATAACAGGAGCATACTCCAACAACTAGGCTAAAATCAGGCAGATAAAATCAAATGTGGGGAGGATTATGTAATTAGAGCTTCATTTAGTAGTAAAAAAACAGCATCCGACTGTAGGGTTGGTCAAAAAGGTCTTAAAGAATAGATGTTGACAACTTTTCAGCTTATCTTGGTGAATCAAGGCAATTGTATATAGAAGTATAATCCATTGAAGAGAATGATTAACCTGACGTCATGGGAAAATGTAACTGTTACGAGGCGGGCGATTCTACATTTGGAGAATGTAAATTGTACAAAAACATGATTAGAAAAAAGCATGAAGGTCCATCAAAAGCCAACATATTACTTATTGTTATGCCCCTAATCATACATGAAAGCTTAGCTTATGTTCACTGACAATATCTTCAGGATCCTATTAAGCAAAGAATCATGAAATGACCCTCAGGAACAAAACAAATGCTTGATGAACTTTTAATTTTGGCTTGTTTTAATTAGTTACTAAAAAATACCAGCCAGCAGAGCTTTGAACATTGAATGTGGTGGTGCTGAACTACAAGAAGTAGAAAACACTAAAAGGTTTATGAGGAAAAACAAACAAAAAAAACCTCACCACGCTTCAGTCGAATCCACAAGTGAACTGAAGAGTTCCTCAACACAAGCATCATAACTTAAAATCACAATCCTGGAACATTTAGGGGCTCTTAAAATGCACTGTAGTACATCACATTGTTTCAACATAAGCATGAGGGAGAGAAGCAATCAGCAATAAACTAAAGTAGTATATGAAAGATAGGGAAACCCCTGGAAATATATAGGATATTGTAAAATTGCTGATGTATTTTCTATTCTATGATCAACCCATGTTCACATTTCAAAAAGCAATTTCAGATGCAAGCAGATGAGCTTAGATTGGAGCAAAGTTGAAATGGAGGTAATTTCACATCTGACATATCCTCCCTTAACAACACTTAAAATCACTGTAACACACATAACTATATCTATCACTATAACTATAATCACTAAAAGCTTCTTTATTGTTTCCCTCTATGAAAATAATTAAATTTAATATTTTGGCTTTTATAGGTATATTTTGCAGGATTTATTTTATATACATTTCTTTTATAAAATGATTACAAAAATTTTTCAATATTCATAAAATAAACACCAGCAAAAAAAAAAAAAATTACGTTATAACCACTGATCTATATATAGATTCTAAATCTCCATTTTCATTATATAGTGGTTACAACATATTTATTCCTCTGCCAAGCAATGTAGTTCCTAAGAAGTTGCCAAGCAACACATGCAGCAACAAAGAATCACAAATTGCAGTTGCGCAGTAATACCAATGTAATGCGGTCACAGGTGTATGTTTGTTGAGTAATTTACAACAGCTTCGAACGCAACTCAACCAATCAGAATCAAAGACCGGAACTATCCATTCTTTCCTATATATATATATATATATATATATATATATATTATATAATATAAAATAAATAATTAATAATAAAAAAAATCTAAATATAGTTCATAATAATATAATTCCTTACAACCCAAAATGTGCTGTCCAATTCATGGGCAAAAAAGTTCCCTTGTCTGAAATCACTTTCAAAGCAAGCAACTTTCTGTTGGTCAACCCATTGTGCAGCATGACATCATGACTTTTGCATAAACATACTCACCACTTTCAAGTCAAGTGGCGTGTTATCTATACGCATTTTGAGCTATCCACATGTATGCGTGTATGTACATGCCGTTATATGTCCGAGCGAAACAAGGCAAAATGTAGATCTACATCTGGGGAGCGATATTATTTTTCCTAGGATGGTAGAGGAAGACTCATAAATGCTATTAACCCCAGTGACGGGTAGGTTTAGGGACGGGGTTGGGGTAGGTCATATATTTATACAGTAGTAGAGTACAGTAGTATATTTATACACTACTACTACACCAGACTCATATTTTCTGCCATATTTTTTATTTTATTTTTGCCTAATATTATAGGATAGCAAAGATTGTTTCACATTTTAAAATTGAAGTTACACAGCATCAACTGAGAACTACTGCTAATTTGGACTAATTTTGTAGTTCTGAGGGACCACAATGGAAATGAGTCTTTGGGCTTTATTGTGTTATCCCTGACTATTTATTTATTTTTTAATGTATGTCACAGTTTCATACTGTTTCATATTTTTATAATTAAGTGGTCAAATATAATCAATCAAACATATAGTAAGGAATTGTACATACTCCGACGCAGAGAGCGTGATCTGGTTGTATACTGCACATTTTGCCAAGTTAACTTAAAATAAGTGTTTATCATGCTTTAAAATGTTATGTTTAGTTAACTCAAATATCCTAGTTGTACCTTCACATATCAAAGTTAACTAAACTTACACTTTAAAAAGGTAGCATGAAAACTTACTTTTGTAAGTTGAAACAACATTTTTTTTTTTTTTTTTTTTTTACAGTGTGGTTTTAAATACACATTTTTTCCCCCTGAAAATGCATACTGTGCACACTACCACTACAGCAGATATAGTACGAAATATCCGTATAGTAGGCAGCTAGATTTTGGGAGACAGCTCATGACTGCAAACAGTTTTACGACTCCATATTTAATCTGGAACCCATGACACTCGGTAAAGTCGGATCACATGGTGGTGGACTTTCCTTTAGCATGCATAAGAATAGCAGATTGCCATCCAGTTCAACAGCACATCGCAACAAATCAAATGCATACTACTCATACTGACATACGAGTGGATTATAAGTTTACGATACTTCTGAACAATAAAGGCACTCGGGTTATAGTTTAGGCTAATAGTGAACTATTCTTTATTTAAAATGTTTTGTTTCGCAATAGTCCACATCTGTTTCTGTGTGCTGTAAACACACAAGCAGAAAGTGAATCTGTTTAAGCCGCTGCTGATTGAGCAATCAGCTGATTTCAGATGAAAACAAGACAGTGTTGTAAAAAACACATTTCTGATCGATTGTTATTGTATTAGTGACATTATATAAAAGTATTCTCGTGTATATTAAATCAATGATCTGAGATAGAAATGAGTCGTTTTAACATAAATACAAAAAGTAAAACGACACAATCTAGCGCGACTGTCAGGCCTGTCAGGGTAACTAGAAACACCTGATCATCCTAGGGCCTGGATAAAGATCAACATCCCCGCATGTAAACGGCTGATTTGAACTAGAAATTAAGCGCACACACAAAAAATAAATTTACAAAGGGTTATTGAATTATCTCCGTGTCCTTTAACAGCATAACACATGAGCTCGTTTGCTAACGTCAGTTAGTTTACATGTCAATTATACCGTCTTTCTTAACAAATCCACGATCAGTCTCTGGATTTAACATGTACAAGCATACATTTTGATTTCATAACTCACCTGGTTTATAAAACAGGAGTTCTAGCGAATATCAGTCTGTATCTGCGCTGAGGTGTAACGTTAGCCTGTGAGCTAAATCGCTACCGTGTCCTTACACAAGCCTGATGTTTATGAGAAAAACAAACAATAACTCCAGCCTCTGTCGCCAGCGGAAGACTGGATCGCTTAGGCTAGAGTGTGAGTGAACCAATCCTGAATCGGAGATACCGATACGGGTGTTGTAACCGCTATTGCCCCCCCAGTTACCTGACGGGTCTTTTTCTGTTTCGGGATCTGCTTTAACTTCCTCCAAAACAACCCTGTGAAAGCCAGCGATGTCATCACGCAGGTGGCGTCATCGCGCAGACCTGCAAGACACGCCCTAAAAGCGGTCTGGATCGTGTTTGTTTTGTTTTTTAAGACACGTTCTGTATTTTTAATGACTATAAAAATATTAAATAAAAATGTGTTAGCCCATTTTCACCACACAATTAAATTATAAATTCGTAATTAAAATATAATCCATTAAGAATTTAATTTAAAATAATAATTTAATTTAAAATAATAATAATACCTTTTTATATCATAATTATTACTTATTATTTTGTGTAACCTTTCTATATTACTTATTTACTTATAGAATTTGTTCTTATGTGGAGGAAATGGGTATCAATAATAATTTAAAAGGTAACGCACAAAAATAATCATTGTTAATAATCACCAACAAATACTTTTAATACCAATTATAATGTTATATGTAAAACTATGTTTGCGTTTCCATTCATTGTAATGGATAAGCTCAAATGTTTTTAAATTTTTAAGCATACACTAAATTGAATTGAAAATGAAAATATTGAAGCTATATGAAAACATTCTTATATAACAGGAACACATTTTTAAAAAAGCAAATTTTACTTTCACTCATCCCGGTTATAACGCCTTGTTGAGTATTTACTACTTGTTTTTTTTTTTTTTTTTTCTTCGTAAAATAAATTTAATTTATAATAATAATGTTGCATTCAACGTTATTGATAATACATTGAACAAACTATATTCTACGTCAATAGAACGTAGATAATATATAATGAAATTACTTTTCTGCTGAAAATGAAGAGCGATGTTGCTGTCGTCACGTGACGTCATTTAAATCCCCCGCCTTAAACATGGCAGCGCCCTTGATGAACGTGTAGTGGTTGTTACAGAGTGTAGGAGATGAACCACTTCACAAAGTCATTTGCTAAAAACTGAGGTCCTCGCGTGCAGTATGAACAGACGAGAGTTCACAGCCTGCCTTGTGGTAATGCACATTTCATGTCTATTACATGTGCTAAAAGCAGAGGCACCATTCCTCGTGACATTAACTCTGCTCGTGAAATTAATTCAGTGTACATTTTTAATATAGACCATTTTGCGAGATGTAAACAACACTGGTCCAGAAGCACTTCCTGTTTCAGTTTTTTTTTAACACTATATAAACGTTGGAATAAAATACAACCGACAGAACATATACAACTGAATCAAAAAGTTAAACACACATCTTTAAGATGTTTTCATTAATTTGAAATAAAGAAACCATTTACAAACTGAAACAGGAAGTGTTTCTGAACAAGTGTTGTGAAATTTATTATTATTATTATTATTATCATGTTATGATAACAGTGACTAAGATACTGAAAGTAATGAAAATAATGTAAGTCATTATAATTAAGTTGATTGTCTGTTTTTGTGTCTTTTTTTGTTGTAAATAAAACAGTAAACAAACCTTGCCCAGATGTAGTATTTGTGTTTTCTTAATTCAAGCAGTTCATTTGTGCCTTATTGACTTTATATTTTAGCTTTTCTTTTTCTTAACATTTTTAGGGCTTTAATAAAAAGGTTTTTGGGAAAATAAGCCCCTCTTTGTTCCGTTTGTTTCTACAGCCTAAACATGAATTAGTTGGACTAAAGTGCTTCATAATAATAATAATAATAATAATAATGCTACAGTTAACAATTCTTCTTGTAACTGACAGCTTCAACTTGACCTGGACTAAAACAGTATTTGGACTACAAATTCAAACACTTATTTATTTATTTATTCATTTATTTTTAAAGAGTAATAATGAATAAATAAGTGTTAATGAAAATAAATAAAAGTGTTTGCATTTTCTAGCATTGAAATAATGGAAAAAAGGTACATTTGTTTTTGTTACAGATCCATATGCACAGTATTGCTTATTGTTAGTTAGAAATGTCCTAAAAACATAATGGATGAAAAATGTTGTTAATAAAGATGAATAATGAATTCAATGAAAAGTGTTCTGTATATCTGATTTATGTTTTAGTAACTATATTAAGCGCAAACTTGACACTCCTCCTTGAAGCTTTGAGTCATTTGCCTTTTACTGCATATAAGCATATTTGCTTTATAATGTGGTAAAATATGTATATTGTCCTACAGAGACTAATTACATTGCGCCAGAATTTGTTTAAAGTACCTAATTATAATATAATACAACATTATCTCTGTCCCTTAGGCAGGTGGCTGTGCAGGAATGTGTGTAGATCTCACTCTCTTCCCTCTGGACACTATAAAGACAAGGTTGCAGAGCCAGCAGGGCTTCTACAAGGCGGGAGGTTTCCGTGGGATCTATGCAGGTGTCCCGTCTGCTGCTATAGGCTCCTTTCCCAATGGTAAGTTTATTTATATATATGTATATATGTATATATATATATATATATATACAGTATATATATATATATATATATATATATATTTAAAAGCAAGCTTTAGAAGAGTTATTTAAATGTATGCTGTCAAAACGCTGGACTTCTGATTATGATATATATGAAGAGTTCAGATGCAAAAGCCTCTAAATGCCATTTGAAATTTTCTTCTTTAATGATGATTTTTATCAAACTTGTATATTTAAGTTCAGTAATATCACTTAAATAACAATTAATAGGTAATTATCATTGCAATTTAAGTGAAATTACTGAACTTAAATATACAAGTTTGATAAAAATCATCATTAAAGAAGAAAATTTCAAATGGCATTTAGAGGCTTTTGCATCTGAACTCTTCATATCTATATTTAAACCCAAAAAACTAGTCTCTCTAGCTCTATGTCAGAGAGTGGATGCAGGTTAAAGTCACTGTGAAATCAAAATGAACCATTCTTATTTTTGTATTGCAGTATTTATTATGAATTATTTATCTGTATACATCTTTTTTTTTCTTTTCTCATGTGCTCTCATAATCTTTAATCAAAGTAACTTCACCTCCCACCTGCAATGATATCTTCTTTTCTCTGGTGTCGTGTTTTGTGGGTTAAGGGCGGGACAATCTGTCACTCACATGACATCACAGCAATAGCAAACCGATCCAATCAGTTCCCCTTCCCCTATGGCCAAAATCAAGTCCCATCCAACATTTTTTCTTGTTTCACTTTTGAATACACTGATAGTCAAAACATAATGATCAGTCACAGGTGAAGCAAATGTTGTTCAAGGCCATATATTATATTCTAGGAAGCAAACTTAGGCTGGAATGGTGTGTTGATGTAATCGATTACACAATGTCTATATTCATCCCTAATCCCCTGTCATGTTTAACACAAAACAAAACTCTAGAGCAGATATTAATGGCTAGTATGGCAGCGCTGCTTAATATATGTGCAACCCCATTCTAGTGTATAACCGAACTGACACCTTCAGGTTTTCAGGACTCACAACCGCATTCTTGTCTGGTCTGAGCCAACAGAAGGTCTACTGTGGCACAAGTTTCAAACAATTTTAATGATGGCTAAGGTAGGGGTGTGTCACAACACACAGTGCATCGCGTCTTGCTGTGTATGGGGCTGCATAGAGTGCTTATGATGATCCCTGTCCACCGTCGAAAACACCTACATTGGGCACACAAGCAATGGAACTGGACCGTGGAGAAGTGGAAGAAGGTCGCCTGGTCCGATGAGTCCCGTTTTTTTTTTTACATCATGTGGACTGGCATGTTCGTATGTGTCATTTACTTGGGGAAGTGATGGCACCAGGATGCACTGTGGGACGGTGACGACAAGCCTTAAGAGGGAGTGTGATGGTTTGGGCAATGTGCTGCTGCAAAACCCTGGCTCCGGACGTACTTTTGACACATGCAACCTACCTAAACATTGTTGCAGACCAGGTACACCCCTTGAGGAAAATGGTGTTTCCTCTCAATGGCATCTTTCAGCATTATAACGCATGCTGCCAAACCGCACAAATTGTTTTGGAATGGTTTGAGGAACATTATGAAGAGTTCAAGGTGTTGCCCTGGCTTTCAAATTCCCCAAATCTTAATCCAATTGAGAATCTGTGGGATGTGCTGGACCAGCAAGTCGATCTATGGCGGCTCCAACCTCGCAACCTACAGGACTTTAGTCCTGAATCTGCTACTAACGTCTTGCTGTCAGATACCACGGGACACCTTTTTGTTGAGTCCATGCCTCATATTACATATTACTCGTCTCACAACATCCTAAAACATCCCTTGCAGAATTAAACTCCTCAACGAATATTCTACCATATAGAGCATTTGTAGGCAGACATTACAGTTATGTATTTTGCAACTTCTTGCATATTGTAGTCAGGAAAAAAATGGGAACAAATGGAGGAAAATGGGCCACATCCATGGAATAAGAGTAAAAAATTCTTGTTGTGCCTGGATGTCAGAAACGCAATTCCAAACAGATTGTCCATATTTATTATACTGTCGTTGAAGACACTGTGAAGCTACACAAATATATTTACTTTTTGAAGCATGCGAATGTGTGATTCTCCTCATGTGATTCTCCATGGCTTGTAAATTAATTCCACTGAATAGTCTTCCCACGGCCTTTGTCACCGCTGAATTGTTGATGGAACACGTCAGGAAATGTCAGGAACCAGAGCTTCACGTCAGCCACGTCCAGCCAGAGCTTCACGTCAGCCACGTCCAGCCAGAGCCTCTTCACGTCAGCCACGTCCAGCCAGAGTCTCTTCACGTCAGCCACGTCCAGCCAAAGCCTCTTCACGTCAGCCACGTCCAGCCAGAGTCTCTTCACGTCAGCCACGTCCAGCCAGAGTCTCTTCACGTCAGCCACGTCCAGCCAGAGCCTCTTCACGTCAGCCACGTCCAGCCAGAGTCTCTTCACGTCAGCCACGTCCAGCCAGAGTCTCTTCACGTCAGCCACATCCAGCCAGAGTCTCTTCACGTCAGCCACGTCCAGCCAGAGCCTCTTCACGTCAGCCACGTCCAGCCAGAGTCTCTTCACGTCAGCCACGTCCAGCCAGAGTCTCTTCACGTCAGCCACATCCAGCCAGAGTCTCTTCACGTCAGCCACGTCCAGCCAGAGCCTCTTCACGTCAGCCACGTCCAGCCAGAGTCTCTTCACGTCAGCCACGTCCAGCCAGAGTCTCTTCACGTCAGCCACATCCAGCCAGAGCCTCTTCACGTCAGCCACGTCCAGCCAGAGCCTCTTCACGTCAGCCACGTCCAGCCAGAGCCTCTTCACGTCAGCCACGTCCAGCCAGAGCCTCTTCACGTCAGCCACGTCCAGCCAGAGCCTCTTCACGTCAGCCACGTAGAGCCTGCAGAGCCTGCTCCTCCCTGGTCGCCTGCACAGCCTGCTCCGCCCTGGTCACCTGCACTTCCTGTTCTTCCAGAGCCTCTTCACGTCAGCTATGTCCAGCCAGAGCCTCTTCACGTCAGCCACGTCCAGCCAGAGCCTCTTCACGTCAGCTATGTCCAGCCAGAGCCTCTTCACGTCAGCTACGTCCAGGCAGAGCCTCTTCACGTCAGCTATGTCCAGCCAGAGACGCTTCACGTCACGTCTGCACAGCCAGAGACCCTTCACGTGGCTTCTGCCCAGCCAGAGACGCTTCACGTCACGTCTGCCCAGCCAGAGATGCTTCACGTCGCTTCTGCCCAGCCAGAGAGGCTTCACGTCGCTTCTGCCCAGCCAGAGATGCTTCACGTCGCTTCTGTGTTTGTGTCTGTCCCTGTCCCAGTGTCTGTTCCTGTGTCAATGTCTGTGTTTGTTCCTGAGCCAGTGTCTGTTCCTGTTCCGGAGTGGTGTCGGTTCCTATTACTCTTCACCGCCGTGGCCGCCCGAGGGGTCTTCACCGCCCTGGTCGCCTGCACAGCCTGCTGCGCCCTGGTCGCCTGCACAGCCTGCTCCGGCCTGGTCGCCTGCACTTCCTGTTCTTCCAGTGTCTTCCCTGCCGTGGTCGCCCAAAAAGTCGTCTCCGCCCTGGTCGCCTGCACAGCCTGCTGCGCCCTGGTCGCCTGCACAGCCTGCTCTGCCTTGGTCGCCTGCACAGCCTGCTCCGCCCTGGTCGCCTGCACTTCCTGTTCTTCCAGTGTCTTCCCTGCCGTGGTCGCCCAAAAAGTCGTCTCCGCCCTGGTCGCCTGCACAGCCTGCTCTGCTCTGGTGGTCTTCTGCTCCGCTGTGAGGATCTTTTGTCTCCGTATTTGACCTTGCCTGTACTAAGACTACGTTTTTGGAATAAAGCCTTGAGAATGGATCTGTACGTCTCTCCTCTGGTTCGTTCAGTTACAATATTGAGAATAGCAGAGGGCCTAACACCGATCCTGTGGCAATCCAGTCCATAGTCTACTGACTTTATCTTCCATTTTTCCCCAGTTCTTCTGGTCTTAGTCTCTGTTTTTTCTGTTTCTTCATATAATTTCAGATGCACTCGATGATGGTGAGATCCGACCTGCATGTGGAGCATTGGCTGTTGTCAGAATCCTTGTGCATTCAAAAATTTCACTGGATTATTACAATAAATGGCACAATTAATGTCTGGAAATGTAAACTGATATTTCCTACTGAGACACTACAACAAAATATATAAATAACTGGCTTAAAACCATTTCTTTGAGGCGAAAATACTAGTGTGCCTAAGACTTCTGCACAGTACTGTATATGTATATATTCATGCATGCAGAGGTCTAATGCCGTATTAGGCAGGTGGTCATAATGTCCTGGCTCATCAGTGTACAACACAATAGGGAAGAAAAGACTATCGTAACTTGTTTCAAGCAAACTTTAAATAGTTTGCCTCAAACAAAGTGTTTCTTCTTGTTTCCAGCTGCTGCGTTCTTCGTCACCTATGAAAGCACCAAGTCGTTCTTCGCTGGCTACACTGCTGCAAGCTTGACCCCCTTCACTCACATGCTGGGTGCTTCACTAGGAGAAATCGTAGGTTTCCTGTTATTCTTCTTTCTTTCCTGTTGTTTTGTCCTTGTGTTTATCATCATTTACCCATTTCAGTCTGAATGAGCAGTGTGTCTATTTCAGAGACAAATATGCAGAAGGCTCAGAATGTGTTTTTTGTTGGATGTTTTTTTGCTCTGGTTAGAGTCGGGCCCAAGACGACCCTTTATTTTCCCACCAGCTGGCCAAATGGATCTTGTTGTTGTCTATTGACATAACTCTTTTCATAGAGAGGAGTCTTGCAGTTTTGTCAAGGGAGATTTAGGTGTTGGAGCTGTAAGAAGCACCTTCATTTCCTCTGCTAGTGAAATTCTGTAAGCTCAGAGCTATGCAATCCAAAACGATCCACAAGCATTTAATCATTCCTTAGAGCATACTCCACCTTAAAAAATGTAATGCAATCTTAATACATACACTACCATTCAAAAGTTTGGAATCATTTTGACACTTTATGTTTCTTTTATGTATTCAGTGATGCATTTAATTTAATTGCAATAGACATTTATTGGTTATGCCTTATGGCCATATCTCTTCATGTGCTGTATTGATTGACTTTATCACTTAATAACAGAAATGAACAGAAAAGACTAAAGTGAAGGGCGTTTGAGTTTTTTGGCATGAAATATCACTTTTGTTTAACTGGGGTCGGTACTTTTTTTAATAAGTGAACACTTTAATTGAGCAAGAATGTATTTAAACAATCACATGTAACTGTAAAGAGATATTAACAATGTTACACATCTTTTTATTTCAAATATATAGTGTTCTTTTTAACTTTCTATTCATCAAAGAATCCTGGAAAATGTTGGAGCACAACTGTTCTCAAATGATTTCCCAAGGATCATGTGACTGAAGAATGATGGTGAAAATTCTGCTTTGTCATCACAGGAATAAATAACATTTTAAAATATATTCAAACAGAAACAGTTATTTTAAATTGTTATAACATTATACAATATTACCATTTTTACAGTATTTTGATGAAATAAATGTAGTTTTGGTGAACACAACTTTTTTTTTGAGCAAGTTTTTTTTTTGTCATCCGACATGATTGATTGTCCTTTGGAATCAGCATAACATGTTGAAATCACAAGAGTTCAGTCCTCTCAGCTGTTTAATATATTTGACCATATTTAAAAATATTCAGTAGTCACAGACGACATCATTAGAGCTGAAGAAATTCTACATGGTCCCCTACTAATTCTAAAACCATCCTATTCATCTCAATATGCAATTTCAAGTCACAGTATATAACTTATGTAATTGGCTCGATCATTTCAGTTTATTATCCATTAAATGAACATGCTGTTTTTCCATCTACTCTCTATACTGAAGAAGACACTGAGGGGGGAAGGTGTCTTTTTGCATGGAAAATTAGAGCAAATATCATTACGTGCTAAACACGGACTTTAAACATAGCTCAACGAATAAGTCAAGTGAAAAGGTCAGCCTTCACCAATACCCAAGACAGTTGAATATAAGGTGAAGTTGAAGGCAGGTCTGTTGATAACTCTTTGCCTGGTGCGGCAGGATTTGCACACTTCAAAATAGGGATTTTTAACAGCAGAGCCCCAGCTGAATCCCAGTGTGTTGTGGGTACGCGTTGCCCCGTTCAAAGCCCGTAATCCCACAGCTTAGCCATGAAAGTCTTCCCCTCGGGCTGTCTGGAGCAGAAGACAAAGTCATCATACTTGGGTAACTTCTGCCATTAAACAAGTTCTCACTAATAGGTGTCCCGACTGGTCTGGATATGATTAATGACTCATTAGTTTATAATTTGCTAAATTTTGAGTTTTCTGGCCCAAACATTTTGTGCGATAATTGCTTTGGGTATTTCATATTACTTTGTACTTTTCCCTATTACTTTTCAAGATAGAATAAAAGATTCTTCGCCACTGCTGTACTGTTATCCGGTTGACCCTATAAGGTTAGCGCGAGCACACTAATCAAATGCAATGCGGATCCTGGACTTTAAGCTCAGGGATTCAGACATTGCCTTTGTAGCATCGGACCGGCAACCAGCGAGATTGAAATTGTCTGGAAATGTTATCCTCACTATTTTATTTTCACTTTATTCACCTTTACCACTCTCTCTTAAGTCCAGCTTCTCTCTTCATACAATCACTATGAAAGGTTTCTATATTATTGTTGAGTAATAATAGCAGCTGTAATTTCTGTCTCTTCTTTCTTCGTCTGTGCTATAAAGAATGCAATTGCTGATGGTGTCTGTCAGGGCCAGAGTAGGCTGTTATCTAGCCATTATATCAGATTTATCTTCATTCCCATTTGCCCAACACTCTCTCCGAAAGCTCATTTGTCAAGCTGAAGGAGCACTTTTGCTACATTTATAAACCATGTCTCTCCCTATGGTTGTTGGGTGAAAACAGCGTGTAGCATGACTGGAGGAGGGCGATTGGCACCCCGCTAAGCTTGGCACTGCAAATAATGCATTGCCGGTGAGAATACGGTTGCCTGTGATTTATTGTTCAAATCAAGCCTGAGCATTCTGCTGTGGCTCATTGTCAACCTTTTCCCGCCCCCCTCTTCTTCTCACCTGGCAGATCTTTGAAATATCGAAAAAAATAAAAATAAATAGGCAATCCAAAATTGAAGTGTTGGGTTAACAATGCTATCTCTGGACATGCATTGGTATTATTTAAGGAAGAGAATGGGGACGTGTCAGGCAGCGATTGGTCTGTGCAGATAGATTTTGGGAGGCATCGCTCCATAAGGACCCGAGGGGATTCTGTTGTTGTTGTTGTTGTTTTTTTAAGGCACCTGTCGGATGATCTATGTAAGATTGTTCCAGATGCCTGTTGTAATTCCAACTTCCTGAAAAACTGCTGGGAGGCGTGTGCTCCGAGTTCATGGACTGTTTGGAATGTTCCAGCTGTGTCTATTGATGTCTGGAACCACAGATGTGAGATTGACCTTGGTTTGTTTTATGCTAATGGGAATTTGTTTTGTTGGGATTTAAAAAATGGCCTCAGGTTTGTGGGAAAATGGCAAAAATGTTTTGAATTACTGTATAAATGTATACAAGTTTGGGAGTACGATTTGTTATGTTTTTGAAGTCTCTTTTGCTCACCAAGTCTGCATTTATTTGATCAAAAATACAGTCGAAACAGTTATGAAATATTATTTATATGATTAATATAACTTAATGTAATGTATTCCTGAGATGGCACAGCTGATTTTCCAGCATCATTAATCCACTCTTCAGTGTCACACAATTCTTCAGAAATCATTATGCTGATTTCCTGCTCAAGAAACATTACTTGTATTATCAATGTTGAAAATAGTTGTGTTGCTTAATATTTTTGTGGAAACCATGATGCAGGATATCCAAAGTTCAAAATTTATTTGAAATATAAATCTTTTGAAACATTATAAATTAATGTAATGCATCCTTATGAAATCTTTCTGACCCCAAACTTTTAAATGACAGTGTGTAACACTTCTGATAACACTTTACATTATAAAGCTGTATGCTATGTATAATTTAAATCATTATAAAATTATTAGAATTATATACTAATGCCTTATGCATTCTAAAGTGTTATATATTTTCATTTTAACCAGTTATAATAAATTACGATCTATTCTCTGTACACCTTACACCTTGAAAGAGTATAATACAATTTAACACATATAACACATGAATTAATAATGCGTTAATTCATTACAGACTTTAATGGCATAATCCTGAAGCTATAGGTGTCATTATAATGTATTATGTAATATAATATAATTTTAAATATAGTTAAGATGGTTAATTAAAATATAACTTTTTACACTGCATGTATTGTAGACCTTGTAGAATCATAACTGTAACATTTATGCTAACGACTGATTATAAGTTGTTAGGTATTATAGGCCTATAATGCGCGTTTTATAGTGATTTCTTTGAAACTATTACTGAAACTGACCATTTGACTCGACACTTCAAAACTGACAAACATTTAGTGTGACATGCATCAGTCGTACCTTTTATAGGTGTGTGTTGTAAAGAACAGCGCGAGGACAAGACATGCGGCCCTGAACTGATTCACTCACTCAGTGCTAAAACAAGTTTTGTGCCAAGCTTTAATATCCCTTGCTTCTTCATCGACCTGTCCTGGCCTCTGGTCGTCATGTTGCCCTGGAAGTTTCACCCTCAGAGGGGTTTGTTTTCCGCCTTGTTTTCAGCACTGAGCTTCGAGCGCCGAGAACCGGAAGCGCCGAGCGCGCGCTTGGATTAAAGACAGCGACTAATTAGCGCCACCTCCTCCAAATGACTCGCAAATTAAGATAAATGGTGATGTGAATGCAAGAACAAAGCAAAGCGACCAAAATGTATCTCACAATAATACAAATAACCACACAACCCTTTCCAACGATATAACCAAACGTTAATTAGTAGCCTACAAAACTGCATTTAAGTCAGTGCCTCGATAATCGCCTGACTGGTCACACACGTCCATAAACACGGCGAAACTCTAAAGACTTCGACATCCACTTATTTAAAAAAAAAATGTCCTCAACCTAGTTTTCCTCCTCACTGCTCCCTGTAAATTACCCAGAAATGCACAATGTCGGCAATTGATCTGATATAATCTCTTGCCAGTCCTCCATCAACTCCCCTGCGAGATGATACGAAATTGCTGCGGCGCGCACTCACTCCCACCAATTCAATTACCGCAAGAATTACTTGTCATATCCACTTCCCTCTCTATTTAGTGCTGTAATTTTGATCCTTTTGAGAATTACACGAGGGGACGTGATGTTTAGTGTTTCATAAATGTTAACCCAGCAAAAAGAGAATGTAATGAGCTCGGTAAAATGGGCCCTGTCAGTTTCAGTAAGAGACCTATGGTCGCTGTTCCCGGGTTTCACCGCTGGATGGCACTCTTGGTACACGCTTTTGGCTTGTTTAAAATTCGAGCCCTCCCCACTGATCCTACTTTTTTCAATGGAAATAACAAATACAGATCTTGTACGTTTGTGTCATGCCATTTCGTATAGTCTTGCATGCTGTTCTGTAAGCCAAGTGTCCATTCATTCGGCAACTTCAGTGTGCAAGATGCTCTGCCGCCTGCCAGACTCATCTAGAACGCAAACTCCCGTAGCTTGTTCACACACACCGTGCCTGTAGGGTGTCAGCTGGGCTCACAGTGAACCTAACCTCTCTCATAGTAGCACCCCACGCCTCTTCTGTCAGTGTCATTCAGAAGAGATTACTTCTATCCAGTGTGAGTCTGGGGGTCTGGTGGGGGGCCCGATAAAACTCCCCGTGGTTGCGAAGATTGCTTTCCATCCTCGGTTCGCCCTGGTATTTCCACCCTCAACATGGAGAGGATCAGAAGTAATGCACCACAAGTGTAGTTTAGAGGGGGATACGGCCTTGTACAATGAGCATGAATAATGCCACACTTCAACTATCGACAATGCATGTTTGCTGGAATTCAGTTGGTTGGTGTGGGTGTGTGAGAGAGAGAAAGTGTTTTGTGACTTGTATGATCCATAGGCAATTTGTTTGTCATTTGTAAGGGGTTTTTATGAACATATTTACTTATATGTATGTTGTAACTTATATTACTTAAATTATTAATACAAACATGCATTGCTGTAGGCTCATTTGTCTGACAAATTAGTCGTTACATTTTCTGAAATCATATTCTTAATCAGTATTTTTGTAAATATTAGAAAATATGTAAAAGACAATAAATTCAAATTATCTCTCTCTCTCTCTGTCTCTCTCTCACACTCACATACACGCACACATAGACACACACACACATGCAAAAACAAGAGAGAATCAATGAAATATTATTTACTGATTGTGTTGTAGTCAATGAATGTTTTGTAATATATACTGTATATATATATATATATATATATCCCCAGTTGTTTTAAATATATATATATAAACAGCTATATTGTGCAGTGTACGTGAGTATTTCTATCTGTTTGTGCGACCAGTACTGTTTGACGTGTTGATGAGTGTTCCTCTTCCTCTTACACAGGTCGCCTGTCTGTTTCGTGTGCCGACTGAAGTGGTGAAGCAGAGAACACAGGCCAATCCCTCCCTCAATACCTACCGGGTGCTGCTGAATACACTACAAGAAGAGGTGTCCTTATATCGTCAGCTTGACTTACAGTGAACAATGCTCTTGAGTTCACTTGAGCCGTCCTGTTAAACACAGATGGACGGGTTGATTCATTGATAAATAAGCTGTTTTGTAAGGCAGTCAGTCATGAAAATGCCATGGCATTTTGTTTGCACAAAGATGACGACTCTTTGATTTCTCATTGCAGGGTTTCAGAGGGTTGTACAGAGGTTATGGCAGCACAGTCCTTAGAGAGGTAGGCTGGCTTTTCTCTATAAAGTATTAATACTCCATTATTTTACTTAAAGGATTAGTTCACTTTTGAAAAAAACTTTTGCTGATAAATTACTCACCCCCATGTCATCCAAGATGTCCATGTCTTTCTTTCCTCAGTCGAAAAGAAATTAAGGTTTTTGATGAAAACATTCCAGGATTTTTCTCCTTATAATGGACTTCAATGGGAACCAGGTCCAACCGAGGTCCAAACGACAGTTAATAACAGTTTCAGATGCACCAAACGATGAATAAGGGTCTTATCATGCGAAACGATCGGTTATTTAAAAGCTTATTCCAAAAATGTAACTTTTCTAAGGACAAATGCTAGCCTTGTAATATATTGTGAGGCGCGTTTGCAACGTCACGTAATACGTAATTACGTTCAAAAGTTCACGGGTGACGTAGCCGGAAGTACAGAATCAAAATCGTCCATTATAAGGAGAAAAATCCTGGAAAGTTTTCATCAAAACCCTTAATTCCTTTTCGACTGAGGAAAGAATGACATGGACATCTTGGATGACATGGGGGTGAGTAAATTATCAGCAAAAGTTTTTTCAAAAGTGAACTAATCCTTTAATTATAGCTATGCTGTGATATTGGCATTTGATTGGAATATCTCAAGGGATAGATAACACTTTACTTTAAAGAGGTGGTATAATGCCCCTTTTTACCAATATGTAAAATAAGTCTCTGTTGTCCCCAGAGTGTGTATGTGAAGTTTTGGCTCATAAAACATGTTGTTTTGTTTGTGTCCCTTTAAATGCAAATGAACTGCTACTCCCAGCACAGAGGGCGGAGCTTCAAGAGCTCTTGTGTGTTAGCAGCTCAGATTACCTCATGCAGACAAGCACTAAAATGCCTTAAATGTTTAAACTGGAGTTGGACAATGATGGAGAGACTAAGGCCCCGTCCATACTACTGCGTTTTCATTTAAAAACTCAGACCTTTTGCTACGTTTGCACCTCCCGTCCAGACTAAAACGGGAAAAACGAAGACCTAAAACGGAGAAGTTTAGAAACGCTGCAGCTCCGTTTTGCGTTTTGAATCTCCGGAGGGCGTTTTAGCGTAGATTGGACAAAACGGAGGACTTCAGAAATGCTGATGCAGAGGCTGACGCTCGGCTCTATGATTGGGGGTTATCAGTCATGACGTATACTTCCCTGATTCGCCAACCACTGTTTACACCGGCACGCGCATGCCCAGAGTTGGTGAATGGTCACGTGATCCGCGTTTTCAGTCGTTTTAATGTGGACGGAGGTCAATTCTAATATGCAGATAAAACGCTAGTGTGGACGGAGATCGTATTCGTTTTAATTCTCAATTTTTAAATGAAAACTCAGTAGTGTGGGCGGGGCCTAAAAAGACGTGACAACATGTAGAATGCAACAGGACATTTCTGAATGGTTAGTTGATGAATAGAATAGAGTATATTCTATTCATCAAGTATAGAGTATATTCTATTCATAGAATGTTTCTATCTTCAAGTCATTGATTAGCATATTCTATCATGGCAATCTATAAATCGTTGTGTGGGAACTGTTGTAAGATGCCTACAGAGTGACACCCTTTTGTATTTGTGTTACGTACTGGTTGTACCGGTCATTCGCTCCACTGATGGCATGTGAAATGAGCTGTCAGCGCATTTAATTAATCATATCTCACTGAATACCGAACTGATTTTCACGCAGGTTTTTTGCTGCAAGGGTCATACATGTAGCTATGAAACAGGACACATGGGATATTTTATTCACAAAATACAACCAATAGCAAGGTAATGTTAAATGTTAAATCTTACTTGTGAAAAGTAATAGTAATTTCGATAGTCCGCCAATTTGAGCATGAATATGCTGCACAGTGCTCTGGCATCTACTGCTGCTATGCAACACAATAGAAATATGACCAGTTTAAGAAGGCGGCCGCATTTCTCAGTGCCCAGCGGCCAATAGGGCATCTAGTCTCTATATGATATCTATGGTGTAAAAAAAAAAAAAAATGCACATGTGTATTATGTGCTCAATTTATAGTGTTTCATCGCCATCTACTGGCCTGGCAGCACAATACAGCGTTTAGTCGTTTTTGCATATCCGTGTGAATGGGGGAAAAAACTTCTCTGTTTTAAAGGGTAACTAAACCCTAAACCAACTTTTTTTAGTTAATGATCTGTAAGAATGGGGCTTTTTTAATGCTGATCATTGATTCAAGTAACTTTTTCGACATTTGGGTATAAAGTGTTTTAATTCTACAATATATGGTGTAAAAACCTCTTCAGGTTGAACGTTGGCTACTGCAGTTGAATTTTCCTATTGGATGTTTGCGGTTCTTTGTGACGTACGCAGGTTTCAGCTACCACGCCCTCGGTAGTCTAAAAACCATCTTGTTTTGTCAAAAGCGTATATTTGAAACCACTGCGAGTTGGAATTACGAGTATTGTAAATGATCAGGATAGAGTATTGCAGCATCTATTTATCATAGCAGTTAGATAGTTATTTAGATTATTTTGTGTAGCCTAGTTAGTAGCATAGTACAGTTAGGATAGCTTGAAGTTAGCATAGATTTATCTGTGTTTAGTACAGCGGTCAGGATGGTAATGGATTAGAGTTGGACATGGGCTTCTCCACACAGCTCGCACTGAAAAGAGACGCAGTTCCAAACACTGCTCCTCCTGCATGGACTCCACCACTGCAGTGGTGTCTTGATATGAGTGATCATGTATATTTTAATCACAATTTATGGTTAGGCTAAAGTTAGTCCTCTGAGGTTGACAAACGTGCCGGCGCATTTTGCTGGATTTTTTCACATAGCGGCAAAATATAAATATGAATATATGCCTACAGAGCACGTGGCTATTGACATCAACTCGACAAAACTCATCAGATGCCGATCGAGATGTGGGAGTTCAGACCGCAGTTCGAGCCTGCGGCTCAAATTTATATGGCCCATTTATATCAGGTGAAGGTGGGGGAGAAAAGTCCTCGACTTCAAATGACCGCTCTGTTGCAAATCTACTTGCGTCACTCCAGTTGCTCTCCATTCTAGAGTCTGACAGCAGCTGTCACTGCAGGTCTCAAGTGCACGCCCCCTGCTCAGCCCCGCCCTCGGTTCGTCCCCTCTATCTCCGGGGGTCTGCCCATTTTTTCTGCATTTTTCAAATATTGCCAGTGGGTGGAGTCAGGCTCTGACCAGAGGTTTAGTTACCCTTTAAGCATATTGTTGTTGTTGTAATATACCTTCAGTTTTCTCATTCAGTCAGCTTTTTTTGTATTAGCAATTTATCTAGCTAATTAAACTAATTAGCAATGGAACAAGCGTCAAGTTGAGGAACCCCTTCAACCCAAGAGAAGATGCTTTAAAAAAAATCTCTCATTCTCGCCCTTTGATTAATCATCTGCTTCCTCGCACACCTGCATGGCATGATAATTCTTACTGAGTTCAGGCAAAGCTGATATTTTTTCTTTTGTTGTCCAAATTTATTTTCTCCTCCTTCATGTCACGTACTGACAGAAGACGAAGATAAAAGGAGGGAAATATTCGAAATCAAAGAAAACCTGTTGTCTGCATGAAGGTGACACTCATTTTTTCGTGAGGTGATAGTCTCTCACCGGCAGGCAATCTTGTACTTATTTTCCGCCTCACTTAACTCACGTTATTCACGCAAACTCCATCTGGACATAAAGAAAAAAGAACAACCAGCTTTTTCTGATTTCTCCAAGGGCTTCTGAATAAATGAATACATTTTGGATGCGAACGGGCAGCTCAGGCGGAATACTAAGGGCCAGTTAAAATAGAGGTGCCGAGAGGTGCCCCGCTTCTTCCTTGGGATTGGCTTTGACGTGTGTCAGGAAGCTAATTCATTTTCTCGGCCCTCTATCTTATCCAGCGCGGCAACCCTGTCAGGATAAGTTTGTTTACCCTGGATGCCGAGTCCTCCTCACGCAAGGATTTAATTGGGGTCTTCTCCATTATGCAGATTCATTAAAGAACCCCGAACAAGAGGTTGTGATGAGATGCAGCCCGCCGATATGCGCTAGTTGATCATGTAGAAGAGAGAAAGGATTGCAAGCAGTTAAATGACAAACAAAAAGGCTGGTCTAAAAAGAACCCTGCATGCATGATGATGATGATAAATGAATACAGATTAGGTATCAAAAATACTGTAAAAAAAAGGGTAAAATATATGTGCAATTTAAAATAGTTTTCTATTTTAGTATTTAAAATGCAATTAATTCCTGTGTAATTCCATTTATGTTGTGGAAACCATATTAAAAAAACAAAACAAAAAAAAACAGGATTCTTTGATGGATAGAAGTTTCAAAAGAACAGCGTTTATTTGAAATAGAATGTTTTTGTGACAATGTAAATGTCTTCACTTTCTTGCTGAACAAAAGTATTCATTTATTTAAAATCACAATCTGTGGTACTGTACTTTTAGTCATTAACCTCAAAATTTGTCTTTTCAAAGGTAGTTTCCCCATCATGTTGTTCCAGAAATGGCTTTTTATCTGTCAACATGAACAGGACTGCGGACATAAAATAGCATAAAATTCATTGTGGATTTAAAAACATCATAAAATTTGTTCATAAGACTCATTCACTACATTACAAGTCTTCTGAAGCCATATTGTAGGGAACATGCCAAATTAAAATCAATTTTAACTGAATTTCTGACCGATTGCAGCTTGTAAGTCCACAAATGTCTATATGAGAAAAGTCAAAATATTTAATTACTCTTTATTTTCAGCCAGCTCTTCTGGAATGATTTCCAAATTATCCATTTCTCAGGTGATCCTGTTGCAAACTGTTAACAGGAGAAGTTTTTCAGTGAAAATTGACATACGTTTGTCTCTGTTCCTCACACAAAGCCACCAACCTGACTCCACAAGCCTCAGAATATATGTTACACTTATATTATCTTTTAGTGTATTCTGGTTTCACCCACTAGAGGGCATAACAGGATTAGGGCAAATCTGATAACCATCTGCA